TTTAGCCCCCCAAAAAACGAATTAATTAATTATAGAAAATATTAAATTAAATTAATTATATATATATATATATACACACACACACACACACACACACACACAGTACTATTGTGAGTAGAAAAAAACCCATAATAAACATAATGTAATAGAAACCAACAATTTTAGAAATAATATTTTATACACAATTTTTATAATATTAATTCAAAGTATAAATTGGGTCATACAAACATATTTATTGCAAATTGTGCAACCCTATAAATGAACACATCAAACCTGAATTTTTATTGCAGTTTTTAATCAAGATTTTCCCCAAATGCTCCAGCCCTACTTGTACAGCGCTTATATGCGTTTGACTTTGACTGATTCTGACTGTTTGTTTGGGCAGCAAAGAGGTGTGTGACCCTCGGATTGGTGGAGAAATCGTCATGTGTCCGCAGTGTGATGAAATCTGTCCGTACTGGAGGCTGAACACCACGTGTGAGTCGTCTAAAGTGAGTAGTCAAACACACACAGACCCACAGCGTCTCCTCTGGAGGATTGTGGGATTTGGTGTCTGATCTAGGATTTAACTGATGTTTGTTTTGTTTGTGAAACGCTCTGAAGCTGAGAATGTGTTTCTGTGTTGGTTTTCCTCCACAGAGACTGTGTATATTTGATAACTATGGGACGTTAGTGTTTGCCATCTTCATGTCTGTTTGGGGTGAGTGATGTCATACGCTGGTCACATGATCCCATGCACTCATACCAGTGTTGTGTTGCTAAACCTTTGTCTGCTGGCAAAAATGCACCAGCATGCAGCGTGATTAGTCATGTTTGTTAATGCAGCATTTATGCAGTTCAATGCAATGTTTGAAGCTCACCTTTTCGACAGAGCTCTTGCTGTTTTTTGTATGCTGTATGTTTCATTAGTTATGCTTTACAATAAGGCACAGTTTGTTATCATTACTTAACACGAAATAACAGGGTTATTATAGCTAACTGAAACTGAAATAAAATTAATAAAACTATATAAACATATATTTAAAAACTACAAAAATGACAAAACACAGAACAAAATTACTAAAACTTGAACTAAAATTTAAATACAAATGGAAAATGAAAACTGACTCAAAATATTATTAATAAACTATAATAGTATCTCAGTGATACTACAGTAACACAACAAAATAAAAAAAAACTTTAAAATTAAAATGAAAATGTAACATATAAAAATAAAATCTGATTCAAAATATTGTTAAAATGTATAATAGTATCTCAGTGACACCACAATCTTAGTTAATGTTAATTTTAACATCAGTTAATGGTGAAATGATATGCATTTAAATAAATAAAATGCTTAAATTATTTTACTTAGATTTTTTATTTTAAACCATTTATTTATTGCAATTTTTCATTTTTATCATTTATATGGTTTCATAGTTTTTATTACTATTTTGAATCAGCTTTTATTTTTTTCCTATTTTTAGTTTAACTAATGTTTTTTTTTTTTATTACTGTTTAGGTTTAATTGATTTCTATTTCCATTTTAGTTCACTTTTAATTTTCCATTTATTTCCAGTTAGTAATTTTAGCACTTCAACTTCAACTTATTTCATTAAAGACAACATTTCGAATAGAATTTTATTAATGCCTTTTTAAAATCAAAATATGTATCTGTTAATATTATTTAATGGACTTGAGCTAACATGAACTAACAATGAACAGTTGTATTTGTATTAATAACTTTAACAAAAATGAATAAATACTGTAACAAATGCATTAACTAATGGGACCTTCCTGTAATTACTGTAATTTTGTAAAGCAGTATTTAGATGCATTGCATAAATCTTGCGTTTTGCATGCAATGTGTTTCTTGTTTGGCAGTGACTCTGTTTCTGGAGTTCTGGAAGCGCTATCAGGCCGAACTGGAGCACGACTGGGACACGGTGGAGTTTCTTCAGCAGGAGGAACAGCCTCGACCCGAATACGAGGCCAAATGCATCTATGAGAGAGTGAACCCTGTTACACAGGTATGAGTTTCAGTACATGCAGTGGCTCTGTTCAGATGAACTCATTGTTTTTAGGTTTGTGACATTAACAAAGAGCTTTTGTGTTTGTTTTGTTCAGGAAACAGAGAAGGTGCCGTACACGGCCTGTGGCAAGTGCATGAGAGTGTCGTGTGGCATCGGCACTGTGTTATTCTGGGTAATATTGTGTTTTCTCTTTCATACATGCAATTAAATATTTAAAAAGGCGTCTAAAAGTCAACATAAAGTAATAATACAGTACAGAGCCGTATGATTTCCATATGATAATCACACAATTTATCATCCATGTTTTAATTTTAGAAGTAAACCTCTGTTGTGCAGCACTTTGTTTGCCAAATAAATGTTTAATTTTCATTTAATTAAAAGATAAATAGAATGTTTTATGCCTTAAAGGGGTCATATGATGCGATTTCATTTTTTCCTTTCTCTTTGGAGTGTTACAAGCTCTTGGTGCATAAAGAAGATCTGTAAAGTTGCAAACACTAAAGTCTCAAATCCAAAGAGATATTCTTTATAACAGTTAAGAGTCAGCCACACCTACCTAAAACGGCTCGTTCGAACACGCCCCCACATATCTACCACACTATGTGGGAAGATTTGCATAACACCGCCCAAATGTTCACACAAAGAAAGAAGGAGTAACTTTTATTCTCGCTGTAATATTGTTGCCGCCGC